CTGTAGCAGCGAAGCCCAGAGCCCATCTGAAGGGTCCCATGGCTTCCACCAAAGAAGAAAAAAGAGAGAGAGGCTGGGCCAGGTATGACCCTGGAATTCAATGGAAAGTCTCCTGTATTTCTCGGCGCTGGCTGTCCTTCTCCTTCGGTGCTGCCCAGGCATGTGTGTTGGGGTTGTACAATGGCCTTCTCTTATGGTTTGGGACCATTCATTACTTTTCCAAGGAGACAGAGGCCAGGAATTACATGAGCAATTTCCTCAGAGAAATTTAATATGCTTCGTATATTAAAAGTTCTCCAATAGAGACTCTGAGATGGACCAGGAGAAGAGAGCCTTGATCTAGAAGAGAAACAGGCAGCATGTAGCCATGGAGGTCACAGCCACAGGCCTGGGCCCCGAGAGAGGGTGGAGCCTGACCGTCTTAGAAACTCCCACTGGGTGTTTCTATAAGATCATGTGAGTGCCATGGCTCCGTCCAATCCTCCTAGAAGGAGCTGGGAGGTGTGGCTTGCCTATTGGACAGCCAAGCACAAGTGACCCCTGAGCATTCCTTCCCCCATAAGTGTCTCTTCAGACCAGTCATATCACCATTACATTGAGGAAACTAAGGCAGTTTGGCAGTCTCATTTCCCTGCGATGTCAGAAGTGGAGGTGGCAGATTCCTTAGGAGGCCCCTTTTCAGAACAAAAGATGTCTTCTATATCTAGAAGTGACTCCCACTCCTTCCCTGCCCTCTGAGGCCTCGCTTCCTTCCTCAAAGCCACACTGTGATGGGGGAGGGGTCTATATGTCTGCAAGATTTTGGCAGCAAGAGAAAAACTTCTAGGTTTGGTATAGAGTGAAAAATTTTATAGTAGAAAACTCTATTCCATGGACTGTCTTACCTAATACATGGAACACCCTGGCTTTAACAGCTGCGGAACGTGCTCTTTAGCTGCTACACGCCCACCCTCCATCCTTCCACCCACTCACCCTTAGAAAAAAGATCTTGCCTATTGTTTTCCCCGAGAAGCTAGTTCACCATACCCAAAACACTACAGTCTTAGTATCCCAATAAAGATCTTTAAATGTATTTTGGTAGCTGTTATTTAAACAATATGTTCAGTGGATAAAGACTTCCTTATTTTGCATGCATATGGGACCATGTGTAAAAACAAAATGATTGATTTACACTCTATGTTGGATCAAAACAAGTCATGGCTAAATGATGGCATGATTTAGTGGAGAGTCACTGGTCCATCCCTTCATTGGGCAGAGACCAGAAAGATTTGAGAGATGGACACGCGGGGTCAGGCCAACTCTCAGTTACAGCAGGTCACCAAGCTGATCTCAGGTTCACATTTTCTGTCACTTAATGTTCCTCAAAGACTGAGATGTCAGGTTACCTCTTCTCTGCCTTCTGTGATCACATGAGGGAATATAATTCACCATGCCTTTTTTTTTTTAGAATTGAGCTCTCACTCTGTCACCCAGGCTGGAGTACAGTGGCCTGATCATAGCTCGCTGCAGCCTCAAACTCCTGAGATCAAGCAATTCTCTCATCTCAGCCCTCAGGCTCATATCCCTGGGCTAAGTTTTTAAAACTTTTTTGTAGAGACTGGGTCTTGTTATATTGCCCAGGCTGGTCTTGAACTCCTGGCCTCAAATGATCTCCTGCCTCTGCCTCCCAAAAAGCTGAGATTATAGGTGTGAACCACTATACCTGGTACTGACTGAACCATCAGGTTTTTTTTGTTTTTTTGTTTTGTTTTGTTTTTGATTTTTGAGGCAGAGTCTCACTCTGTCACCCACGCTGGAGTGCACTGGCACAATCTCAGCTCACTGAAACCTCCGCCTCCTGGTTTCAAGCTATTCTGTTTCAGCCTCCAGAGTAGCTGGGACTACAGGCACCTGCCACCATGCCTGGCTAATTTTTGTAATTTTAGTAGAGACAGGGTTTCACCATGTTGGCCAGGCTGGTCTCGGACTCCTGACCGCAAATGATCCGCCTTCCTCAGCCTCTCAAAGTGCTGGGATTACAGGCATAAGCTACCATGCTGGGCCTAGCATTTTGTTTTACTATCCTGTAACAGTTACTGTTGATGCTTCTTATAAGCCCTAAACCTACCCTTAAGTATTTCTGAGCATCTCTTCCTCAACTTCGATGTGCCTTTATTATGAACACCCCATACCAGTGACTATCTTAAGAAGATAGTCGGTTAGTGGGGATACTTTTCTCAGATGAAAGCACCTGGGAATTTGTATTCACCCTCCCACCCCCCACCCCAGGGTAGGTCATAGCCAATGACAGACCAGTAAAAGAGTGTGACAGATTGCCCTTTCTCAAAATGGCCACATCTTGGTCCCACATGTTCCAGAACATTGTTGCTCCCCAACCAAGAGGTGAAGTCTATTTTCCCTCCTTTTGAAATTGGGTGGGCCTTCGTGACCAATTCTATGCAGAATGTGGTGGAAGCAATGCTGTGTAGTTCATAAGTCTAGGCCATAACAGGAGACATTGCTTATACCTGCCTCTCTCAGGAAACATGCCCTTGGAACCCAGCCACTATGGTGTGAAGAAGCCTAGGACACGTGGGGAAGGCATGTATAGACTGGCTGGCCAAGAGGCCCAGCTAAGGTCCCAGCCCACAGCAAGGACCAGCTGTCAGACCTGTGAGTGATTGCACCTTCAGAGGACCCAGGCCCCAGCCTTCAAGCTGCTCCAGCTGGTATGGTGTGGGGCAGAGATGAGCTGTCCCCACCAAGTCCCACACCAAATTGAAGACCTATGAGAAAAATTAGTCTTGTAGTTGTTTTTGAGCTACTATGTTTGGGGATGGTTTATTGCTCAGCAATTGATACTTGACATAGACTTAAATACCTGGAAGTGGGGTATTACTGTTGTACTGGACCGAGCGTAGAAAGTTAGCACCAAGACAAAAGTATGCCAGATTGCAGGGTCATTTATTATGCCGGCGACCACAGAGGACTCACGTCTCTCCAACCTGTGGTGTCGAAAGGAGGGTGCCAAGACTTTATACCCGAAAAACCACCTTGGGAGTGGGGGTGAGGAGCGGGGATGGGGATGAAAAGGTTTCGGACATTCCAAGGGCCGAGAGTTCTGTGATTCACCTCCTGGGCGGAGACGAGGGTGGGGGTCTCCAGACATTCCAAGGGCCAGGGGACTTTTGTCATTCTGTTTGTTACTTCAATGGTTTACAGAAGTCAAGATAAGCATTTGTTTATACATTATCTGGGTAGTGATAGAAGTCACAGATCTTAGTTACTTATTACAAGTCACAGGAGCCAGGATGGAATTAGCCTGGGCTGCTTATTTTAGTTATTACCGGTAAGCAAAGGCTAGCAATTCTGGCACAATATCACATTACCATAATGAAACCTAAAGAATGGGGCTTGGGACTGGGTGGCAGATGGGTGGTGGATGGAGGCTGGAAGCACCTTGATAAAGGGGTTAATGAAAACCTAAAGGGCCTCAAAGGGACTGTCAGGGGAAGCCAATGGCCCTGGAGGACCACTACAATATTTCCAGACCCCTACAAAGAAGTGGGGCTTTATTTCTCCTCCCCTTGAAATTAGGCAGGCCTTAATTTTGCTAGATAAAGAGGGTAAAATTAATACTGTTACTGTTTTAAGCACTGTAGGGGAGGGTCAGGAAAGGGCCATCTCATGACACTAATCTATTAATTAATCTCAACAAGCTCTTTAAAACCACCAAATATACATGGATTATTCCTAAACTTAATTTTTAAAAACTAGTAATATTATTATTTTGATTTGCATTTTTATATCCATAATTAACTCTTTTTGTTGTTGTTGTTTTGAGACAGTCTTACTCTGTTGCCAGGCTAGAGTGCAGTGGCTCAATCTCAGCTCACTGGAGCCTCCACCTCCTGGATTCAGGCAATTCCCCTACCTCAGCCTCCTGAGTTACAGGAACATGTCACTATGCCCGGATAATTTTTGTGTTTTTAGTAGAGACAGGGGTTTCACCATGTTGGCCAGGCTGATCTTGAACTCCTGGCCTCAAGTGATCCAGCTGCTGTGGCCTTTCAAAGTGCTGGGATTACAGGCGTGAGCCACCAAGCCTGGCCTATTTCCACAATTAAGTCTAAACTTCCTCTGAGTTAAAGACCCTAACTCACAAAGAGAAAAAATATTTTTACCATTCCAAGAAATTAGGATTAACATTCCAAGCAAATTGGATGACCCTCTTGCTAGGCTGAATTGCTCACAGACCACATTTGTGGCTGGATCACGAGATCTGGAGCTATAGACACCTAGGGAGATTTTCCTCATGATAACAACAAATCACTTGAGCCCGATTATGTAGAAGCTGTGCTGAAACTTTGTGATTCCTAGTTCAAACCCTCCAAATGGGTGGTCTCACAGCCTGTGCCCTGGGTTATGTCTTCCTCACTTTCTCTATCTTCCCTAATTATCACGCCTGATTTGAATTTACAAAACCAGCCCCTCACCCACAACTCAGGTCCTTCCCCTCTATATTAGAAGTGCCCTATTGACTGCTTAATGTTATTCTGAATTCTTTTCATGCTCTTCCAATCTGGTGGGGCCACATCTCTTGAATATATTTAAATCCAATTGGATTCTGAACATCCTTCCCTGTCTGTATTACATTGAAATTACTTCAGTGACAGGCGGAAGGCACAAAGATGATCACTGTAGCATCATTTATAACAGCCTAAGCATTGGAAACAAATAAAATGACCAGTAAAGAAACTGTTAGATCTCAGTCACATTCAGGGTAAGGTGGCAAGAGGGGAAACACAAGGTGGGCTTCGTGCCAGGTACCTATCGTCCCAGCTACTCAGGAAGCTGAGGCAGGCGGAGCTTGAGCCCAGGAATTCAAGGCTGCAGTGAGCTACAATGGTGCCAGCACTCCAGCCCGGGTGACAGAGCACGACCCCCCGCCCACCCCGACTACCACCACCAAAAAAAAAGACATGAAATACATCAGCTAAGGAACAAGCAAAAGGGTGTGAGACCTCAAGCCAACGCTGCAGTTGGGATCTGTACACATACACCATCCCTTACGCTCAGTTTTGACCACAGTGAAGCAAAGCTGCCTGGAAGGAATGAACAGTCTGTGTGTTGCATGTGCACAGAGGTATGTAGGACACAGATGAGACATTTACCTCATATTCATGCCCAGATTTTGAGATGCAGAGACCCAGCAACAAAAATGGGCCTGCAAGCTATGCCTCCCGCAAAGAGAAAGGCCTGATCAACTCATTCATACAGAGGGGTGGCGTGGCTATGGAATGTCTATCTAGAAAGGATTTAGAGAGAGCAATTGGTTGGAAGGATGACAATGGCAGATTTGGGTGGAAACAGTGCTAGCATTATAAGTGCAGTGTTTTTATTTTGAAATAGAGATGGTAGCTAACCACCTCCCAGCTACCCCTTGGTACTGCCTCTACCAGACACTAAAAAAGCACAGAGGAGAGTAGTGCTTTGCTCCACCAAAAAGACTCTCTAATGGTAAAGGCAGGGACAGAAAATTGGGCTCAATGGAGGGGTGTCCCTTGAGAGCAGAAAGCAATGATCAAATCTCTTACAACAAAATATGTTATCTGGCTTAGTGAAACAGATAGGCTGGGAAGAGTGTCTGGGAATTGCTTTCCTGGTAAGAAACCCAAAAGAGAAAATTACCACTGGGCAGGCAGGGCTTTCTAGAATGCCCAAGGGCTTGTCCTCCCGTTCCACCAGCTGCTGAATCAGCAAAGGACCTTGTGTTTGTTTAATTCTGTATCTCGCCAGCTGTGTCTGTATCAACACTAGCCCCAGACTTAGAATTAATCAGCCTTCACATTTATAGGTGATGCTTTTTGCTGAGACGTTGACAGCAAAGGAGAAAACAGAAGGAAAATTCCAGATTCTGTGGAGGGATTCTTCCAGCTGGAAAACCCCAATTCAGGGTGGTCCAACCTCGGAGAGGGTACAAGCCCAAGTCCCTCAGGCATGAGGGAAGTACTCAAGTTCCAGTGCTGATATTCTGACCTGGAGAGGGTGAGCAGGGCTGGAATTCAGCTGGGGTAGTGGAGGCAGTCCGAGTCCTGCTTGCTGGGCCCTCTCTGCTGAAGGAGGCCAGATGCCCTAACAGTGCAAGCAGTTCAGCCAGCACTAGTGAAAGCCCACACATGCCCAGCTCTGTGTCAGGGGCTGTGTGTTTGGGGTGGGAGTAGGATCTGGAAAAAAAGCAAGAAGAGACAGGCCTCACAAAATAGAGGCAATTCAAGGCTACGGGTCAAATTCAAAGCACTGGGGCAGGCAGTTGGATGCATTTTCTTCACCAATAGGCATCAGAAAACCTGGCTTCCAGGCTGAGCAACATGACAGCTGAGGTCCCTATAACAAAAGATAGATCAACAAGAGAAAAGGTTCATTCCATTTTGATACAGCCACTTGACACATAATTTTACACTACAACCCAGATAAGCTATCTTAAGTGCAGCATTAAAATGAAAGGGCCCAGTGAAAGAACCTAGATACACAAGGCCACATATCATATGATTTCACTTCTTAAAGATGTCCAGGATGGGCACATCCATAAAGACAGGCAGATTCATGGTTGTAAGGGGCTGGGGGAGGAAGTAATGGGGAGGGACTGCTTAATGGGTGCAGGGCATCCTTTCGGAGTGATGAAAATGTTTTGGAATTAGATAGTGAGGATGCTTGTAAGACATTGGGAGTATACTTATTGCCACTGAATTATTCACTTAAAAAGGGTAAAATAGTAAATTTTATATGTTTTTTTTTTATAATTTTTTAAAAAGGGAAAGGCCCACTTTCCATTTCTGGTTGCCTTTTACTCCTGTGTGTCCTTGAAGAGAGCAGCCTCTCTGTGCTTCAGCTCTCTTCCCCTGCAGCACGAGGCTGTCATCCCTGACTTCCTCCAAGGCCATGGGAGGCCATGTGTGAGAGCAGGAAGGGCATGGGCATGGGCTCAAAGCCCACCCACAACACTCATTTACTGTGGGATGTGAGCGAGTTACCTAGGCTCTCTGAATCTCCGTGTTGGCATCTACATATAGAGTTTCTGAGAGTCCAGACTTGCTGTTTGAGTTAGAATAACTTTTATGAAGAACCAGCCCTTACAAATCAAGCAAAAAAAGTACAAGTGTGTGTGTATATGTTGTGTGTGTGTGGTGTCTAGCATAGATAGCCTCACTAAAAGGGAGCCAATAGAGCTAATAAATGAACTAATAACTAATAAAGAACTAATAGAACCAATAAAAGTAGAAGCAAGTTATAAAATAAAACCTCTGATTAACCCTAAGGAACAGAAGATGGTAAAGTCAGCCATAATTGTTGGTAACATTTCATAGAAAAATAGGATTTGCACTGACCTTTAAGGAGAGGTGAGATTTGGACAGGTGGGTGTGAGGAGGGGCAGGACAGGGCATCCATGAGAAAGGCTTAGAGGTAGGAGCATGCTGGGGCCGGTAAGAAAACGGGGCTGGCTGGAGAAGAGTATTTGGCACAAATAGAGAAGGACCAGGTGTTGGGCTTTCTTGAACCCGGCCAAGAGTTTGGAACTCATCCTGAAGACACAAAGGAGTCTTGTTCTGTTGCCCAGGCTGGAGTACAACGGCACGATCTCAGCTCACTGCAACCTCCACCTCCCGGATTCAAGCAATTCTCCTGCCTCAGCTTCTCCAGTGGCTGGGATTGCAGGCACCCACCACTATACCCAGCTAATTTTTTTGTATTTGTAGTAGAGATGGGGTTTCACCATGTTAGCCAGGCTGGTTTCAAACTCCTGACCTCAAGTGATCTGCCCACTTTGGTCTCCCAAAGTTCGAGGATTACAGGCATGAGCCACCGCGCCCGGCCATGGATGGTTCTTGAACAGGGAAGGAAGATGATGGATATTTTAACAGAAGAGAATGAATCTGGCCCACACTGTAGAGCAATGCTTAAAGACAAGAGTCTAGAGGAAAGGAGATGAGCCTGGCATCTATGGCTTTAATCCAGCATGAGATAATGGGGCATGGGGGAGGGGAGTAAATCTTAGAAACACCCAGTGGAAGAATTCACAGAAGTTCTTCTGAGCTTCAGACTCACCCTGCCACTACTCCTTCTTGGCTTTTGGCATCAACAACATTGGTCTAGCTATTTCTCATCTGTGGGTGTGTTCCTGGAAAAAGTTATGGTAGTAGCCAAGAAAATGATTCAGGGGACACAAGCAGAGCTGCATTGACAAGCCCATGTCAGGAAGCACAACGCCGTGTGGGAGGAAGGAGCTGGCTCTCTGCAAGATTGGCTTGATGGGGTTCAGGGCATGCTACCCCCAAATATGGTATCTTGGCATTTGCACAAGCAGCGGAAGCAGGAAGGTCACTTTCACCTTCCCCTCTTCTCCCCTGAAGCAGGCCATCTGATCTAGGAAGGATTTTTCTGACCCTCTCCTAGAGCAGGTTAGAAGATCCTCATGTGAGAGGTAAGGAACATCCTCATCTCTGAAGACAAAGGGTCACTGAGAGGATCCAAACAAATAGGACTTGTGAAGTTCCCCCAGTTTGTTGGCATTAGATAATACTTTTAATCCAATCATACTTCACTGCTATTATTCACTTCTTCATCAAACCTAGCATTAAAAATCCACAGGTTTAATTATTTCTTGGTGTCTTCATTTCCTTATCAACTGTAATAAGTTTCATGTAAAACTAACCAATTACATTTGTATGCCTTTCTCTTGTTGATCTACCTTTTGTTATAGGGACCTCAGCTGTGAACCTAGCAATGGGTGAGGAAAAGATATTCCTCTCCTATGGGGTTAACCTTGCTTCCTGGATTTGGATGCCGTAAAGCTCCAAGGCACTTGGGCTGCTCTTGCAGGTCTGTAGGATGGCAGCCAGAAAGGCTCATCATTCCCTGTGGTGGCCACAGGGTACTCCCTGGCAGGGAGAGTAGGCAGCTGCTGATGCCATATATTGGTAAGGATCTCCATGATCCCAGCAAGTGGCCCCAGGGGAAAATCCTGGATATATCAGTCAATCAGGTAACTATTGCAAACTTGAGCCCACCCAGGAGGTGGTGCTTCCACACCAGGGTATGTGGGAGCACAGATATCCTACAGAGATTCATGCTGGAAACTACAAAACATTGTTGAGAGCACTCTTCATAAAGAACTCTGAATTTGATAATAAGAAAACATGAGACCCAACTTTAAAAAATAATGAGCAGAAGATTTAGATAGACACTTCTTTAAAGAAGATAAACAGATGGCAAATAAACATATGAAAAGATGCTCAACATCACCAGTCATTGAGAAATGCACATTTAAATCATGATGCAATATCATTACATACCTATTAAATTTAATACGATTTAAAAGATGGACCATTCCAAGTGTTAGAAAAAAACTACAAGCGACTAGTACTTTTATATACTGCAGATGGGAGTATAAAATAATAAAATCGCTTTAGAAAACCATTTCATAGTTTCTTATAAAGTTAAACATACATCTGCTGTAAGATCCCACGTGGAACAACCCTAATGTCCATCAACTGGGGAATGGATAGAGAAATTGTGGTACATCCATAGAATGAACTACTAGTCAACAATAAAAAGAAATGAGCTACTAATACAAGCAGCAATATGGATGAACCTCAAAACGATTATGCCAAATTTTAAAAGCAACATTAAAAAGAGAACATACTGTTCCACTCTAGAAAATGTGACTAATCTGTAGTTTGCTCAATGGTTGACTGAGGATAGGTGGGTAGGGACAGGCAGGCAGGAGGAAGGAATTACCAAGGTCCACAAGGAAGCTTTTGGAGGAAGATGTTCACTGTCTTGATGGTGGTGATGGTTTCGTAGGTATACATACACACACACCAAAACTCACGAAATTGTATACTTTATTTGTGTGTAGTTGAGTTTTGTTTGTCAATTATATCTCAATAAACCTGTACAGAAAAAACAAACCTCCAAGTTATCTGCATCCTATTCAGGGTAAAAGCCAAAGTCCTCATAGCAGTGAAGCTACAGTGTGAATGGCTGACTCACCATTCACAGTGCTGCCTCCCCAGCTTCCAGAACAGTGCCTGGAACATAAAAAGAGCTAAAGAGGTCATTGCTAAATGATTGTCTAGCAGGCCTCCACTTAATAATAATAGTTGTTTGGTAAGTGTTGTTAAAAACAAGGAGGAAGAAGCACTGACCCCATTTATCTGGCATCTGTGTATCCTGGAAAAAATAATAATAATTTTTAAAAATAGCAAGAAAGAACTCCTCAAATAATTAAACATGGAGTTGCCGTATGACCCAGCAATCCCACTCCTGGGTATGTTCTCAAGGGAAAGGAAAAATATGCCCACACAAAAACTTGTTTATGAGAGTTATTTATTTATTTATTTATTGAGGCAGAGTTTCACTGTTGTTGCCCAGGTTGGAGTGCAATGGCATGATCTCAGCTCACTGCAAGCTCTGCCTCCTGGGTTCAAGTGATTCTCCTGCCTCAGCCTCCCAAGTAGCTGGGATTATAGGCACCCGCCACCACCCCTGGCTAACATTTTGTATTTTTAGTAGAGACAGACTCTACTGTTGGCCAGGCTGGTCTCGAACTCGTGACCTCAGGTGATCTGCCCACCTCGGCCTCCCAAAGTGCTGAGATTATAGGCATGAGCCACTGCACCCGGCTGAATCATACACTTTAAATAAGTAAAATATACGCTATGTAAGCTATACCTCAATAAATCTGTTTAGAAAGAATAAGGTGGCATATGAGGGAAGGCAGTGCCCTTGCTCAGAGTTCGAGTGCAGAATGGCAATCCCGTTCTACAGTTAGTTCACTGGTGTGGTTAGGACCTCATCGAGCACCCCCTGAGAATGAGGTGGCTCAATTTCTCCAGCAGAGAAGGGGCTAAGGGCCCCGAGAGAGCCCTGGAATGAAGAAAGGGCTTTTTATTTGGGGACGAGTAAATGAAAGCAGTTGCTTGTAGCTCTGCAGCCCACGGCTGGAGCTCCAGCTGCTGCTTTGTGCTGTATTGAGTGACATGACATCCCCCAATTGCCTCTTAATGATAATACCTTCTATTTATACCAAACACCTCTCCTCCCAGGAGAGCACTATGTTTTCCCAACATTGATTCAGTAAGCCAGCCAGACTGAATTGAATTAAAATTCACAGCAGCCACTCACACAAGCCTACCCCTTTCCCCTGCCTGCTCCCTACTTTGCA